GCAGTAAATGCTTTATAGCAAGGTGAGTTTCTGTCGGCCCGGTATAAAATACATCATTTGATGTAAATTTTGCGCATCTTCTGGAGTTATTTGCAACGGACATAAAACAAAACCCTGAAAAACTGTTTTGAAGCATTTAACCATGTTCGCTCGTTAAAATCAGCATCCCAAGTGATCGCGCAATGCCCAGCTTTCAGCCAATTTGGTTCCGGCTTTCGAGACTGGCTGAGGTCAGCACTGTCAGTACAACCTAAACCTCAAACTTACTTTCAAAAACATACGGCCTATAGTGACTATGCTCTCCATTTTTCTTAAATCCATTTGGGAATCTAAAAACTATTGCTAAATGTTCGATCCCCTCACAAACGGCCTTTTAAATTTACCGTCTCCCGGAAGTTCTAAAGATTTTTGCCATTTGCAGCTATTTTATCGGGATTTGTTACGCCATTTAATAGCGCATCCAAATATACTAAAACCTTAATTACAGCCCAAATAATTTAAGCTAAAAAAGTTATAGCCAAAAACTTTTGGGCACTTTCGGCTCTGGGAGTCTGGGATGAATTATCGCGTGTGCGTTGCATACGTTGCATTGCATAGACATACCTTGTCCGTCCCTTTAAAATACGGACAAATCTTCCAATTATACGCGATTATAACGTGAGTTTAGGGCAGCCCTCCCCGGCCCCGGATCGTCATCTCTTGATTTGCCAACCTGCCGTGAAGAAGAACGAGCTCGATCCGGAGGATGGGCTGTTTGAGAGGGTGCATTGGGATTACTGGAAGACGTTCAAAAATGCCGAGGGCGCAATTCATGATAGTCGCACCATCCGGAAGGTTAGTAGTAGCGCTAGGAGAGGACAACTCTGTCGTCGTCGCGCTTACAGTTCGTTAGTGCAAGCCTTAGAAAAACCGTAGACGCGTATGCACGCGTCTACGAACCCAGAGCCAAAAAAAGATTCGATAGCGTTAATATTCCTGTAATTTCAGGCCCTCTACTTTGCTTCAATGGAGCCGAATCTGCAAAGGAAATCTGGCCCTTCCTACTCCGGGTGTACCCATGGGAATCGACAGTGGAGCAGCGGGAAACCATCAGAAATGACTTGTTCCTGGAATATCAGAATATTAAGAGGAAGAGGTTGGCACTTTTTGTTTCTAAAAGTTTATCTGTTTTTAGACTGAAGAAAGCGGCCAGCTCGAAGCACTGGGACGGGCTTGAGAATACGGTAGTGAAGGATGTCGTGAGGACGGATCGAAGAATCCATTCTTCGCGGGGGATGAGAACCCGAACGTCGACATCATGAGGTATGTAGAAATGAGCCTTTCTCTAATCGTACACGTCATGTAATTTGGCGCATTAGGGAAAGTGCATGACTCAAAACGACGGCGAGAACTATAAAAGAACGTAAAAAGCTAGCAAAAGACCTCACACCTTAAACTGGGAAAATCGGGGCAAGATTGCGGAGAACCTTTCAAGCCTTTGAAAATGTGGATATTTGGTAATAAAGAATTTTTAAATTGCAAACACCGGGCAATTACTAGGCGTACCAGGCAAATGGCCCCAAACCAAAGCGACAAATATAAAAATTCGAAAAAGTTCAAGATACCCTCGAAAGAAGTGAAGTATCAAAAATCTGGGAGGATTTAAGGCTAGAATAGATCCTTTAAGCCTCTTAAAAATTACTATAGCCATAAATTGCAGAGATATCCTCCTGAACTACGCTGCCATGTATCCAGATGTTGGATACATTCAGGGGAGGTCTGACCTTCTGGCTCCTCCGCTCAGCACATTAAAGTAATCTTTTGATTCGGATTTAACGATGAGTCTCCAGAGATGAATCTGAGGTCTATTGGTGTTTCGTCGGGCTGATGCAACAGACGTTGTTCAGCAAGTCGAGTGAAAGCCTGATGGAGCAGAATTTGGTAAAAAATAATGTTATCGCTGGCAATGTTAAGTCTAGGAATACCTTCGTAAAGAGCTCATCAAGCTCCTCGTCCCTGAGGTGTTCAGCTACCTCTGGCAGCTGGGTGGTGACTCGTTGCAGTTCATGTTTGTGCACCGGTGGATTCTGCTCTTTTTCAAGGTATGGCCCCAATTTCAAATTCTGCGTCCTGATCTAATTTGTTTTCACGTACTTTATTTTGCATACAGCTGTATTTTTTATACACATTTTGCTCGCATTAAAGGGAGCGTGACAGGCTTAGCCACATCAATTTATGCAATCTGATTTTTAGAGAGAATTTGCCCAATCTGATAAGCTTCACATCTGGGAGGCGTGTTGGGCCCCGATACCGTACCCGCCACTTTCATCTGTTCGTTTGTGTCGCGATTGTATCCATTTACGGTAGGTAATTATCTAAAATTTGACGTATCTACGCGCTCTCTCTTTCTATCTCATCTCTCTCTATCTCTCTCTCTTTCTCTCTCTCTCGCTTTCTCTCTGTCTTACTGTCTCGGGCTTCGATAGTCGAAGCAACCACAACATTCATCCATTTATCCCTAATTTGACCTCAGGGCCCGACATCATCTCGCAAAAACTGCCGCACGACGAGATCTTGCTCTATTTCTCTTCCCTAGCCAACCACATGGATGCTCGAGTGGTGTTGAAGAAGGCCAGAGGTCTTTTACACCATTTCGTGAATCGGGAAAAGATTCCGTGCTCTTTGGCAGGTAAGAATTCACAGATAATTACTCCTTTTTTAATTTTTAATGAGGGACATTTTTAAAAATGGGTTTAACAGGACCGGAAATGTGAATTTTTCAGGAGTCGTCGAGTCGAGCGGGATGTCACAGTGGGATTCGCACAAGAAGCTACAGGCCTATGAATGTGTCAGCAGGTAGGAAAACCGTTTCTAACGGAATCTCTTACCCTCTCTCTCTCTCTCTTACCCTCTCTCTCTCACTCTCTCTCTCTATCCCTCTTGACAATCCTTAGAGCTTCTTTAGGGATAAACTCAAGCGCTTCAACAATTTTATTGAAGTTTCCAGAAGCACGGCGACGACGAGCCATGCCCATACGCCTAGTTTCTCTTCCGTCCTCCATTAATGCGGTAATATATCGACAATGGCCATATCGAACCCTCATCCATTCTGTGTGTTTGTGTGTAATACTTATCTGTATTGGGATAGATTAAAGAAATAAAGCATACATTTTTTTGGTAATTATACCCAGCAATAGAAGGAAGCGCACAAGGTTCTTCGGCTCGTAGAAAACACACAAAAAAGTGGACAGTGTACTGTAATCGAACCCAAGAAAATTTGCATATATTTGTACAATTTTGAGATCTATCGGTTAGTTCAGCTCATTGAATTTGTGAGTAGAAGAAAGGGTGAACCGAATCATAGATACCTAAAAGTTGGCTAATTGGGTAGGGGGTAAATGTTGCTGGTTTCAATGTTAGTATTTGGGTTAGCGGTTCGTGTCCGGATTCACAGGGCTTCGGGCCCGTGGCGAGGCATCAGCACGCTGGCCTCGGCGGAAGCAGTGGTCTGGAAATGGACGGTTTAAGGGCGTGTGAGAGCTTCATATTCCGCTATAGTACCCACTGTATTTCCTGGTCTCGCTTTGGCTATCCGCCCTCCTCCTCTCGCTGACTCTCCATGTCGCTGTTGCTCGCTCTCTCTCGACCTCTCTCTTTCTCTTTTCTTGCGCTCTCTCCCTCTCTCTATCTCTCTCTCTCGCTCGCTCGCTCTCTCTCACTCGCCTCTCACTCCTCTCTCTCTGCCTCTTTAAATGTGCACGGACAGTAAGCCTTACCTTGATCGGCGCTGGACCCTGTCGTTGAGGTGTCGAAGCGGTTATCACCCTCCCGATGGCTTCGGTTGTGGCATCCCAGTCCTTGTTGAACTTGGCGCGGCGGTAGTATTACTTTTAGCCGGAGCAGAGCTGTAGTTGGAGTCCGCTCGGCACAGTTGCTACCCTCGAAGTCCCAGCCAATGGTGGATCGGCTTTTGGCATCGGCTTCACCACGCTTTGGCTTTCCCCATTGTCTTTAACGGGGATGGGCCTGGAAGGTTTGCTAAAAAGGCTCAATTACCGCATGCAGATTTTTTTGCTTACCTGTCCTCACCGGATCGTTGTGGATGATGGTGTGCGTGTTTTGGCGTTCCATTTTGTGCTGAAAATTGGGGAATAAGCATAGACAATTGCCGGTTTTTCTAACTACGAATAATTCAAGAATTTTGATCGATAATTTGATGCTTTTTTGGTACTGTTTAGCTTGTTTTCACTACGTAATCGATTGAGTTCTGCTACATTTAGTAACTTTAGCGAGCCAGAAATATTTGTTATATTCCCTTTCCAGTACTATGGAACGCGTTTATCGTTACGTAATCGATTGGATCAAGCGACTTTTAGCAAATTTTAGCCTGAATTTGGAAAATGGGCTTTTTTGTCGCTTTTGAACCGAATTTAATGCGTTTTCCATTTTGCAATCGATGTTTTGAAGCATTTTTAGTATTTTTCGTAATTTCTTTGTAAGCTCGATTCACGATAAAAAATAATTTTCCTACCTTTTTGGGCAGTTTGATTTGTTTTTTATAGCGTGAACCGATTGAGTTGAGCAATTTTGAACATTTTTTGAGCAATTTTTGAGCTTGATCATCAGTTTTGAGCACCAACTTTCCGCATGCACTATTCAATTCTTGCCAAACAACTTCTTCACCCGCCCCATAAATCCGTGCAATTTTTTCCGGCCAACCTCTTCGAGATCCTGGATCCGCTTCTTTGTCGGCGATTTTGATTTCGTAGCCGGTTTCTGAGCAGTTTGAGCAGCTGCAGCTCCTTTCTTCTCGACCCTTTCGGGCTTGGCTTCAATGGCTTCGATTTCCGGGCCCTTCGAGGTGCTGGGTTCGGGTTCTGGCGCGATTTCGACGGGTTTTGGAGGTGCCGGCTTCTTAACTTCCGCATCTGGCTGTTTTGGCTTGGGTTTTTCGGCATGAGCTTCAGCTTTGGCTTCAGTTTTCGCTTCCGGTCTTGGTGTTCTTGGTGTTACTTCTTTCACAGTTCTTGGGGTAGATTCTCTTGAAGTTGCTCTGGATGAATTCCGGCTTGATCGCGGTCTGGGAATTCCGGATTCTGCTGGTTGAGGCGGCTTTTCTTCCTGAAACCAGTTAGGTATTGTTATGTACAATAAAATTTTCTTACCTTTGTGGGCGTTGGCTGCCTTTGCGGTTTCCTGGGGCTCTGCTGCCTTGGGCTTTGCTTCTTGGCTTCGGCCGATTGAGTTGTTTTATTTTCTTGGCCGGTCCTGGGTGACTTTACAGCGCTGGTGCTGGGTTTTGGTTCTTCGAAGACTTCCTGAAAATCAAATTTTTTAAATAAAAAGGAGGGGCAAAAAAGGAGAGGGAAAAAAAAAAAGATAAGATTCGGGGGGGGGGGGGGGGGGGGGGCCCCCTTTTTTTTGTCTCTCTCACTCTCTCTCTCTCTCTCTCTCTCTCTATTTTTCTCTCTTACTATCTTTATCACTACAGCGTTCTACGATAGATACTATAAGGGATCGTTGCTAGCTCGCCCAAATCCACTTGACCCAATCTCTGCATGTACCCACCTTCTCATCCTCAATCGGCTCCGACTCGGGATCCCTAGCTTTTTTGCTGTATCATCGTCAGCGGCTTGTGCCGCTCCAAACTCCTTCCCCTTTCGGGGGTGTACAGATGGCCCATTTGCACTCCAGCCGATGCACTGCGTTTGTATGCCTAAAGTATAGAATTTTCTACGGACCAAAAGCGATACTATCAATGGGTAAAAAATTATTTTGCAGCCATTTGGGACAGAGCATGCGATATATGTAGGTATTTTTTTGCGGCGCTTCATGCTCTATTTTAAGCACACTCGAGCTCAAGGAGAAATTAGTGAAAAAAAAATTTGGATTTACAGGCAAGCGCTAGGTATATTTTTACACATAATATTGAAGTGAGAAGGAGTGTAGCGAAATTTTCAGGTGCAAAAATTAGGTTTTCAGGGATTTTTTATCTATAAAAATTAGAATTACCGCAACGAAAAACGCGGATTTGATTGTTATGACCAACAAATTCCGCTAAACACCTCCACCTGCAGGTTCTACGTATAAAAATACAAGGGAAAATATTCATATAGCAGCTACAATTATAGTAAGTAACCTGTGGATTTTCGGTATTTCCGGGAGCGCTCTTCTAAAGAAAAGGCACTTGAAATGGAGTTGGTTAACAGAAGTGTAGAAGTCGAAAATTAGGGTTTCAGCAAGGGAGAGAGAAAAGAAAAACGACCCGGGGGAAGCCACTGATCGCGGCAGGCACACAGTAAGCCAAAAGGCAGAACCAAAAAAAAATAACATTATGTACCCGATTGTTGCTGCTGAAGCGCGGCATGGAGGCTTTTGGTTGGCGCATTTCGACGAAGATGCCGGCTGGAAAAAGTATTTAGAAAGAAAGAGAGAGATGGAGAGAGAGAGAGAGAGAGAGAGAGAGAGAGAGAGAGAGAGAGAGCGAGAGAGAAAGAGAGAGAGAAGAGAGAGAGAGAGAGGAGAGAGAGAGAGAGAAAGAGCGAGAGAGAAAGAGAGAGAGAGAGAGAGAGGAGAGAGAGAGAGAGAGAAAGAGAGAGCGAGTGAAAGAGGGAAAGAGAGAGAGAACGAAGGGCGAGAGTCATTGAGTGAGATAGAGAGTGTACAGGTAAGGGAGAGTGAGCTAGAAGAAGCGAGGGAGCGAGAGCGAGAGAAAACATTGGGCGAGAGAGTGAAGACAGAGTGGCCGCTTGTGTGCCCGAGTGAAAGGGCGGGAGAGAGAGATAAGGAGAGAGAGAAAGCATAGAAATTGTATTGTTTTATGAAATCAACAACCCACTCTCCCTGATCCGCACTTGATCCCTTTCATTCAACAAATTCCAAGCTTCGGCCCGGACCACCGAAGCGGCGTAGTGCAGAAGGTGCTTGTCAACAAGTTCGTAGAGCCGACGGACGAGGACGTAGAACCTCTATAAAATACAGGAAGCGCTAATTTACCGCGTTTTTTGCGTACCGGGCTCCACTCATCGATCGGAATCGACAGCGTCTTCTTTGGAGATGGTGGGACGCTTTGAATCTCGGTCAGCAGGTCAGCTAGTCCCAGGTACGACTTGATGGCGACGTCGGCGGACAAGCTGTGGACCAGGGTGGGGAGGATGTCTTCGAGGATTCCCAGGTTTAGGGCGAGCCCCTGAAAATCCATGGTATTATGGCCGAAATTTAAGGCGTTCTTACTTTAAACGGACCGCTAATGACTTGGAAAGTCCATAGCCAAAAAATGCCTTCTCCGCCCCTTAAAGACGTAAACTGCCCTACCCACCTTTCCTTGGGCCGCAAAACTCTTGCTGGTGATGACCAAATGGAAAGAGTGGATCAGGTATTGCATTCCCACGTCCAGAATATCGTTGACCATGTTCAGAACGGTAAAAGCCGCTTCGCTGCGAGACCGAGAAAACGCGACTTGGAGCCGTTCACAGCCGAGAATCGTTTCGATGAGTGTCTCGTCATCCTGGAATTACGTAATCGTTTTCCTTTTTTCTCTCTCTCTCTCTCTCTCTCTCTCTCTCTCTCGCTCTCTCTCTCGCTTTCTCTCTCTCTGACTTACCAGTTGTTGAATTACTCCTTCAAAGCATTCCTTCAGCCATCTCTCATTCAGATGCATAAATACCCTCCCTTTCCAGATTCGGGCAAAGTACTTGGCTTGCCATTGGATTGCCTAAAAAAGTAATTAGTAACGTTGCGTATATTAATAATTACCTCTTCATAAAGTGGCTTTAGGCATCTAATGGAATAAAATTGAGGGAGAGCGTCAAAAACGGCAGAGACGCAGACGGCGCATGGCTAAAACATGATCTTAGAGATAGGATCTCTCTCTCTCTCTCTCCCTCTTTCTCGAGCTCTCTCTCTCTTACCCTATGGAACCAATGACATTTCGTAGCTTTCATATGTAAGCTCACAACTTCGATGAGATCTTTCAGATTCAGATGAGTAGCCAGAGCGAGGACCTATAAAAGAAGATAAAATCTCCTGTCGTCTGTCACCTCCCATGTGTCGACCTCATCTGGAATCGCCGTCAGCCCACCGTAGAGGAAACAGAGCAAAAAATGTACGGAGGACTTGTTGTAGCCCTTCAGCTCGATTCGCCGTGATTTTTGGAGTTGTTGGCGGAAGAAGGGGCACGTGGCGGAGAGGATGCATCTGAGAATGGATGAGATGAGACGGAGAGAGAGAGAGCGAGAGAGAGAGAGAGAGAGAGAGAGGAGAGAGAGAGAGCGACGGACCTATGCGCAAACAGCTCTCCGTTATCACATTTTATCACTACATCCGAGTCCTTATTGTCGATGTACATCTCCAGCAAGTCGGAGGCTAGTTTGCAAGAGGGAGTACGATCCGCAATAGGCGCATTACCTAAAAAACTACCGTAGTTAAAGGTACGGTAGGTATGATACGATAGCCCAACTCGATTTTCTTGACGTTAAAAACTCACCATCATGATTCGGCGTCATGTCGATGCTGGTTAATGACGAGAGAGAAGCAACAGACAGTCTTTTTGCTATCATGGCTCTTCCCCGAACTCCTTCGGGTACGCCTCCATACATCATACGCTCTCCAGGAGAAGTTGACTCATCGAGCCCGATGAACATGGAGAACATCGGCTGAAAAGAGGTTTGATGAGCATATAAAGGAATAGAGACACAACAAATCTATGCTAATTAAGGCGAGTCCCGTACCTTGTGAATATTACTACGCCTCCTGCTCTCGGTCTCGGTCCTCTCGCCATCATCCGTCGAGTCCAAGCGGATGAATTTTCCCATCGTAGCTAAAAACCATATAATTCTTGTTTTATTTAAATGATAATAAAATTAAAATTATTAAAGTTTTTATTTATCAATTTTAATCTAATTAAAATAGTGTAAATGGCTTACTTTCCTGTCTCGAACTTTTCCGCCTAGCAGGTATGCAAGTACCATCTTCGTCTTCTTCCGGTATATCCGGCCCTACCTGGAAATACAATGTTGTCTTCGGACCATATCGTTCTCCTCTCTCGCTCTCTCTCACTCTCTCCCTCTCTCTCTCTCTCTCGACTTACATCTGATCTCCCGCCAATCGAGTACAGCGATGAGTTCATCGGGGAATGGGAGGCAATGTCTCGAAAGGAGGTCATCATTGGGATTTGCTAAAAAAAACAGGAATTTCTTTGAAAAGTGGAAAGAATTACCGTAAACTGCTGATGCTGATTGTGTTGTTGGGATGAATGTGGCTGGGGGACGTCGCCTTTGGGGAGGATGTGCTCTTCTCGATCCTGAGAAAAATTTGATATTAGGACTGGCGCATTTCCTTGCCAAATCACGTTATAAAAATATTGCGTGTATTCTTACCTGAGCCTTAAAATCCTCCAAATCCGTCGAAGCATCCATATTGAAGGAGGCGTTGGAGTTTCGAGAGTCGGAATCTCCTGAAAAAAATTGGAATTTAAAACTTTCGGACAATTTCGGGACCCTCATGCTGGTCAATTCGATAGATTTGAACTTAGGAACCAATAGGAAGCCCTGGATAAATGGATGGACGGTGGGTGGGAGCGGAATTCGATGATTTTTTCATTGCCAGGTTGGTGCCTTCTCTCCCGAGACTTACCCCATACCAATATCCTTGGCACGTTAGGCATGGGCAACAGCCGATGCTTCCGGCAATTTGTGCACCCTGTTTTGGTATGGTTTTTAGGACGGATGTTACATTAAAGTATTTTAATCGAATTTTGGTCTCAAAACCCTATTTTTTTTACTTTTCCTTTCAACTATTGCTCTGATTTTCGTAGGTTCATGTCTTCAAAAAAAAGTTGATTATCTGAGACTATTTAGGAGTTTGTTAAAAAGGGATAATAATAGCAATCCTATCATTAGTGAGGTATTATTTGACCTATCTTCTGAACTCTTACCTCAAAAAAAGATGTTTTTGGTTTGGGTTGAATTGAATTTTTAGCAAATGTTTTTTACAAAAATCCCCTATAAGATTTACATGAAATCTGCAAAGTATAAAACACACTGGGTTCCTCGTCGACCGTTTCCCCGACGTCGGGCGGAAACTGGGCGATCTCGTCTTCTGTGTACACAGAATGGATGAAGAACTCCAGCCCCGACGAGTCGATGTCACCAACTGCTACCTGGACAGGGAAAAATTGATTAAGTTTTTTAGGTACTTTTTTGCTCCGGAAATCCTTTAAATTCATTTTAGATCGCGTAACGACCTAGGAAAACTAGCAGAGGCCGCTTAGGAAATACGTCGCGAATTTTGAAGGACCAAGGTGCCAAATAAAGCATAGAGTTGCCACCTAAAGGAAAAGGAAAGGCGTCCTCTTGCCCCTTTATGGATTGCCGCTATGGCCTATTGGATATTTTGCCAGGCCTAAAAAAGGTGTGAGTCTAGCCGGTTTCTACGCCACGCGGCATCGGCTTTAGCTTTTTGAGCCCCGAAAAGGTAGCCAAAATCAAAAATTAAGTGCCGTTGACCCTACCATCATCTGAATCTTACCTCTCTAATCTTCCCTCCAACCGCCGGTCCCATCGCGACGACGGTAGGCTCGATGTGCCGCTGGTAAAATCCGGGAGCTCGTGCTCGTAGTATGCACTCATGAGCCGGCAGTTTTTTCCCGTCAGCCGCCACGAGGAGTAAGTCTGCGGAATCCATATTTCCTACCTAAAAATACGAATCTTCTAAAAAACCTTATTTTGCTCGATAAGATTTCACTTCAAAGACTTCAGGTATCCTGCGAAAACCACTTGGACTTTTGACACGAACTGGCATGCTATTACGAGCTCAATTTTATTTATACAAAATTTACTTGAACGCGACGTTTTAGCTATAGAAAAATAAGGATAATTAAGATACATTGTATCAACTAAACTCGGAATTTTAGTTTCTAAGCGAAAACAAAAGTTTCAGAGTTTTACAAGATTTTCTTGAGATTCCAGACCAATTAGCAACTCAAAAATACCTTAGATTTAAAAAAATTCGTCAAAAATCAAATATCGCAAAGATTTGGCTTCACAAGCTCTTTAAAACAGCGCTAACGATTTTTGGTATACAAAATTTCACACATATTAAAGCTCCATAACCATAAAAAAAAATCCCTACCAGTGCGGCCATCTGTGAGCGTATCTTGTGCGCGAGCTGGTTCTGTAGCTTTTCACGAGCGTAGCCGTACTGCTCCCAAACGACGGCCGAGCAACGCATCAGCCCATGCGGACGCTGAACATCATAGCTGCGTTATTTTTTGGGAAATAGAACTAAAAAGGATTCTCGAGACAGGCCGTTCATATCCAACGAGGTGGGAGGCTGTGTAAATATGGGGGTAGAGGGGCATGATTGAGGATCCGGGAATGGCCATCCATATCCGGAGAAAAGGTAGCAATTCGTGTTACGAGGGCAACGTTGCAGAGTTTTTTTGAGGAATTCAGGGAATCAAATTGATTTGAAACGTTTATGACTGGTTTATCATTGCGTAAAAGTGCTATAGAAAAGCAGTATCGGCAGATAAACATGGAAAACTCGATTTTCAACGATAATCCCGACAGCCAAAAAAATCCCGACGCCCATTATCCCAAAAACCGCAGTGCCGACAGACCAGAATCGTGACGGAAAAAATCCCGTCCGCAAAAATGCCGACAACCAAAATCACGCCAGCCAAACATCCCGACAACAAGAAAACCAACAGAGCCAGAATCCCGATAGGCCACAATGCCGACAATCAAAATTACGACAGCAAAGATGCGGGCAGCCAAAATCCTGGAACTGAAAATCCCGACAGCCAAAAGAGCGACAGCAAATCCCGCCGTCTTCTTGACCGTAGTTTGAATGTTACTTCATCTTAAACTGCTATTTGCTTGTCGGGATTTTGGCTGTCGCGATTTTGGCATTTCCGGATTTTGGCTTGTCGGGATTTTTGCTGCGGTATTACGACCGTCGAAATTCCGGCATTTTCAAGAATATACGCTACAGCCTGCGAATATTTCCTCGTCTATAAAACCATGTGCCGTGATTAGTGCGTAAACTTGACCTATTAATTGCAGTAAATTTATCAATTTTTTTCTGTAAAATTATTTAAAAGTAGGAAATAGCACAAAGCCCAGGATAAATTCCAAGCAACGGCTTATTTGCAAATTAAAGCACTAAAATAGCGATTGTGCATTAAGACTGTTCCTTGACAAAATTAGGGCTGACCATATTTTTCTCAAAACTAATTTAAGGCAAGACCGGGACGACAACAGAAGCACCTTCTGTCTTTGTGCCCCCTCTGGCTGAAATTTGAGCCACACGCGAAAAACATGTAGCGGGCGGGGAGTTCTTCCCTAGGGCGAAGACAAGGAAGTTAAAAAATACAACGAATCGGCGGAAAAAGGAGAATGCCTTTGTATTTTAGGATGAGCCATGGAGCAGCATTAAAATAAAAATAAAAAAACCAGTTTCAGATTAGAAATTGGAAATGAAAATAGAGTTTGATTCTGAATAGAGGAGCTGGAGTATATACGACCCGAAAACAGGCTTGCAGCAAATCCCGAAACTTAAAAAAACTCGAAAGCCCTCCCAAAAAGTGACGGGAAAACTTGAAGGATGCCCCAAACATGAGTGTTAGGGCTCTAGGAAGTGGGGCATTTGCGGCTTTAGCGTGAGACAGTAGGGGTCGATGGCCAAAAGAGGGAGAGAGAGAGAGAGAGAGAGAGAGAGAGAGAAGGAGCATCCCTTCCTTTCAGAGGAAATGGTGTGAATGCACAAGCCCCGGAGGGAGCAGAGTATCGAAACGGAATTCCTTGGAAAAGAGGAGCAAGAGAGGAAGAGAGCCCTCTGAGGGGTGGAAGTCGATGGCCGTGTGGGCCAGAAGGGAGGAGGGGGATCAATAGGACCCAAAAAGGGGGGGGGGAAGGGCCCGGATGGGTGCCCACTAAAGGGAATACGACACCCCATCCCAATTCCGTTGGCTTTGAGGCCTTCACGAGGCCTTTAAAGGAACCGACGACGAGATTCCGGTGGATTTGGGACTGGGCCTTTACTTGCTTGAAACAAGCACTAAAACATGATCGAAACCGTCATTCCAATTTTGAAATATCTAGGCGACAGAAGATGACTTCATAGGTCTGGAGACTTGGGGGGAGTGAGGAAGAGAACAGAGAGAGAGAGAGAGAGAACGAGAGAGACACCCAGAGTAAGAGAGACAGAAAGAGAGAGAGAGCGAGAGAGCGAGAGAGAGTGAAGCTCCAAAAACTTGTGACTTTCTGGGTCTGACCCCGCCGACAGCGGCTACTCTTTCATTCTGTCGCCCCGAATTCTTCCAGCAGCCTGGTCCTCCTCTCCAGACTGCCGATGCTGCGTGTTTGTGGCCTCTGAATGCAATTACCAGCTTTGGAACTGGCTCTCTCTCGTATCTTTTTCTCTCTCTCACGATGCTCCAAAGCCGGTCGAAATCCTAGGGAATTCGTTACGTTACGTCACGCGAAAAGAGTTTCAAAAGCTTGGAAGTTGCACAAAGTCGTAAAATCCTTCCTATAATCCGAAAAAATTCGAATATGAGCCTGAGCAGGGCAGGAAGCAAAAAACCCAAGAAATCGAGAATCCTTTCCAAATAACTTGCATGAATGAAGGACTGAGGAGCCAGAGAAACGGTCAAGTGAAATCCGAGCCGTGTTAAAGTTGAGCCGGTGCTCAAACTCGGGCTAGCAATAGCAGACAGCTGATGAAATAAGTCGTCAGTTCCTTGACGTTTTCACCGAGTTAAAGGGAGTGTGACAGAAAAATATAGGGAATTTTAAAAATGTATTGTAAACAAGAGCAGATGAATGTCAAATGTGCCTTTTTAATCCACTTAAAAATATGCAAAACCTATTTACAAGGGACGGAGGTAAGGTCAGCGATTTTGATGGTTGGCGATTTGGATGGCTGCGGCCGCGGTAAAATATTGGGTGAATCCTTAGCCAAAAGAAGCTTTTTAAGTCTAAAGGGAGCGGAACAGCAAGACCCAACCAAATCTGAACTTTCCGAAGGACAATTTTCGAGCAAGAAAAATTGAAAGGTAAGCAACTCACCCATTTTCACGCGTTTGTCCTCAACTTCCGGTGTCAATTTTCAGAGCCACCGTAGCGAAAGCCACCAGAGCAACGAAAAATATTTCCAGACTGACCAAGCTCAAGGCGCGACTCCGGGTTGTGCGGTGGGAACACTATGTGGACACAAGAAAGCCATGAATTGTTGAGTTCGGTGTGGAGCGGCTGAAGAAGGCGGAGAAGCAGAAGAAGAAGATGAAAGGCCATGAATTGCTAAACAAGGGTTAAGGAGATGTCCTCTAGATGTAGCAAGTTTTGGCAAGGAGCTAGCTCAGAAAACGGGAGCTTTTACCCGCTGAAAACCGTCGTGAAAATACTAAAAGGGA